ATATTTCCCTTATTACCCTTGTATTTTTCTTTGATTATTCCCTTTCACGCTACATTCACACTACATTTGTTAAGAAATTACCGACTCAAGACTGTCAATAACGGAAGCTTTGAAGTTGATGAAAGGGCATTTAAAGGTGAGTTTTGTCCATATATTGCATTATATATTGCATCACATATTGCATCTTACAACGAAATATTAACTTCAAAATGCATGAATATTCACGTGAAAACATGAAAAGGATTTACGATTTCATGTGAATTTATTTTAAATAAACAGCAAGTCCAATCATTTCAAAATAGGCAATGAATCCTGCCCTTAATCACTAGCCGCTCTCTAAAATTAAGGAGTATTTCACATTGCCTGTTTTTATTTAAAAGGGCAATCTCGTTGAAAGGGCAATCTTAAGGTTATAAATACGGGATCCGTTTCATTGAAATCACCCATCATTTTCAAGAAAAGCAAATCCAGTCTAAAAATCCGTCTTAATCCAGCTTCAACGAAAACATTAAGGTAACTCTCATGAATATGATACACCTTCTCACTCTTGTCTTACTATTAGTTTTCATGGAAATAAAGTTCACAAACAGCGTTTTGACAGGCTATACTCCGCGAGCTGGTTGTTATTTGGAATTTATTTTAAATTTTTTATAATTCCATCTATTTAAGCAATACCAAACATCAGCAACGAAAGATTGGATTTGAAGAAAACCCTAATCGGTAAGCATCTGTCACTTCCTACAAAAGCGACACTTTCAGCAAGTTCTTCAAAATATATTTCAAAAAATAAGTCTTGCAGCCATACGTCTGTAACTAACTGTTTGGAACCGCCGCCAGTGATTATTCGAAAGGATAAAACGTTGGATAAAGCGTTGCTGAGCGAAAGGACCTTGGATGTGATAAATGGAAAAAATAAAAATTTGCCTAAATTGGATATTTCGGAAAATGAAAAAGTGTTGAAGAAGGAAGCTTTAGATTCAGAAAATTATAAAATTGATAGATTGCCAAATAATTATAATCCTCTTTTTCCATATGATCTTATTGAAATGAGAACCAAGAAGAATGAAAAAATTTAAATTGTAAACACAAATCTATTAGAATTAGAGACCGGACTGGGAGTGTCATGCAATAATTGAACTCGATATCTCCAAAAAATTAAAATGAGATTAGATTTTGGTACTTTTCAGTTATGAGGTAACACACTTACAAATTTTAAAAAGTTCTCAAAATGGTCAATATATCATACTCAAGCTGAGTCGAATGACAACAAAATCAGCTCGAAATCTTGATTCTGAGAGCATATGAACAAGCTCAAAATGGTTAACGTAAACCTATGGAGCGTGACGGTTTTTGACCATTTCGAGCTCTATATCTCGGTCCACAAGAATCTCTGTGAAAAAAGAAAAGATTGGTACCGTTCGACTTAGCACCTTTTTCTACTCTATATAAAAAATATTGTCCATTTTAGAACTTTTTAAAATTTGTAAATGTGTAAACTCATAACCGAAAAGTACCTAGATTTTGACTAAAAATTTTATTCTTAAAGATAAATGACTATTCCAGTCTGGTCTCTCATTCCCAGCCCCGTCTCAATAACCAAAATCTTTTGTTTCTAATTAGAAAATTTTTAAATATTTTTAATGTTAAATCTTTTAAGAAAGTTCTTTTAATTAAATAAATATGTATAAATAATATTTATTGCAAAAATTATACATAATAATAAAATAATATAAAATGAATTTTGTTTTAACGACAAGTGAGATTACAAAAATTAAATAATAATTGGACAAACAATTATTAATTAAGGAAAAATTCCTGGCGAAAAAATTTTAAGTTTAGATTGAATTGAGCACTATTTTCAGCTAATATTTTCCTCAATTCTATACATACCACTCTTTAAATTCCCTTTTTGGCTGTTGAGCTTCTCTTGAAATTGCAATAGTTTCTCGTGGAGGACCTCCATTCCCTTGAGCTAATATTGTTGTAAATCTTGCACCTGATCTATCAGTAAATCCAACAGCCGAAGCGCTGTTACCATTCCCTATTGTTCCACTTCCATTACGTAATAAACTTTGGGTTGAACCCTTTAAATGATTATTTTTTGTGTAAATAATTAAATTATTCAAATTTATAAAATGATGCCTATCCTATTTAAAATTATAACTTCACAGTATAACTCAAGACTTTATGGGGTTTTAGTTGGGGGAGGAGTGAGTGGGTGGGCGGTTTCATGTTTGAAAAGATGTTTGATAGTCATAAAACTCGGGTTTGTTTCGAGTTATGGGTTCAATTGGTTTCGACTATCCTCATAAGAAATTATCAGAACTATTACCACAAGAGTGCCAACACGAGCACTAACACCATTGTTATTACTTTCGAATTCTCTCATTTGATGGTGTTGAACCTGCGGAGAGAATTCATTCGGAGGAATTGGAGTATATCCAGCTTTAAGGCCATTAGTAGAAGATTGTCCAATTATCACTCCTTGACCTCCTCCAGCTGCAGCTGCTGCCATTTGAGCACAAATTTGATGAGGGCGTTTAAAAAAGACACAAAGTAATATGGCACCAAGCATAACAACAATACTAAGTGATCCGACTAAAATTCAAAAATACCTTAAAAATAATATTCGAAAATACCTCCAATCAAAAATTTTTTATCGTTGCCTAATTGATTGTTTGAAGTAGAAGGAACCATTGTCTGAAATTATTTTGATTATTTTAATGGTAAAATAACTGCAGTTAATGTGTATGGTCAAGAAGTCGGATATATCCGCAGAAATACAGATATCAGAGGTTAAGGGTGGATACGCATATAAATTTAGAAAAAGGAACAGGTAAACAGATATCGATATAGCCAAAAAGTCTCAATAAATGCAATTTATTGAGACCTCAATAACAGTCTCAGTGTCAAAATGTGTTATAATCTTGTCGAAACATTTCCGAGATAAAAACCATAAAAATCAGTTGAGATATTCAGAAATTATCTCATTTAATACAATCCAATTCTTAATTTTATCAAAACTTTACAACTCTAATTTAAAGATCTATTTTAATACATACAGTAGGAGTATTTCCGTATTGAGAAGCCCCGTTCATTGGTGTCGTTGGTCTAACGGCATACAAAGTCGGATCATTAGGATCAACAGGAAAGCGGGGAGCTAAAGTTTTTCGAGTTGTTGTACTAGTTGAAGGCTTTGGAGTTGGTGCTAAAAATTTTAAAAATTTTTAAAGGAGCATTTAGATAATTAAAATTTTAAAAAGGAATTTTACTGCAAAATTTAAAAAAAACAGTTATATTTTTATAGAATGAATTTTATTTAGGAAGAAAGATAAATAGGTAATTTAGCAAATCCGTTTAAAGAAGTGACTTTCTTTCCTAGAAATGTTAACTAATTAAGTGCAGACAATATTTAAGAAAGAAAAGTAATAGAACATAACAGAGTTAAAGGATTTAGGAGTTTTTTTTATTTTATTTCTTTTAATTGATGGGTGATTTGATAAATAATTTATTGAAAAATACGTTGAGTACCTATGTATCTATCAGAGACTGGAATGTGGGTCTAGTACAAGATATCTTGAAAAATCTCTATCTCGATTATCAAAATAACTATAATAAGCATCTAACCTATCGATCGGTTCTATTTAATAGCTAAATAATTATGATAAAAGGGTTCTGTTCTTGGAAAATCTTCTAATATCAGTGAAATATGTAAAAAGTTAAAGAATAAAATAAAATTTTAAATTAAAGAAAATTAGATAAAAACAAAAAAAACAACTAAATTATTATTAAAAAAAACACTGCAATCAGATAATAATTAAATTTTATTGTTTGAATTAGGTACAGCAAATTAACTAAAACAAAGCATATTTTCAACGTCGAAGGCGTAAAATTTTATATTCTTATATGGGCTGAAAGAATAATTGTGTAAAAATAATCGGATAGAACGATGGTTCAAACAAGTGTTGTACGGGAGGGAAGGGGAGGGGGAGATAATCTAGAGTATGAGTTTTCCATTGTATCATGAATAATAATACATTTAATCTCTATATAACGTCATACTTCGATATAAAAATGGAAGTGGACTTCGTTATTAGAGTTTAAAGTATGGAAAATGCCGGATACGGTTGCGGGATCAATTAAATTTTTATTCTGACCGGATTTTCGGGATAAAAATTTCGAAAATCTTTTAAGCATTAATAAACTAAAACTAGAGTTTTTGAGGGGCATAAAGAGGGATATTGACGGAGTTGGGGATAAAAGGGGAATCGTTATAGAGTGGCTCTATTTTATCCTTAATTATTTTTAATGAATCCAGCAGCACTATTCGCACATTAAATATGTTTTACTATTATAATAAAAACAAAATTTTAAATATAGAATTTAAATAAAAAACAAAGGAAAAGAGAACATTTAATATAAAATCTAGATTTTATTTTTGTGATTAAAAATTTAATAAAAAATTAAGGGGAAAACAAAAAAAAACATTTTTGTGCAACAAAACGGAAATTTTGTTTAGGAAAGAAAGTCAATTCTTATAGTAGGTGAATTTGTGTAAGTGAGAATTTAAATAAAGGGTAAATTGTACTATTTTTTAAAAGTTTTTCTAAATTAATTTTATCTTTATTCAAGAATTCAGAGGGGCATAGCTAAAATAATTAAAATATGCCTATTTCCATTTCAATTCGATCTCCATTTACTAAAACCTATTTTCTAGTATCATGCTAACATTTACTTTTAGACTTTATTTTTGGAAAGAAGCAACTTATATGGCCCCTTCTATCCATACTAACCCCATTAAGTTGTGATATTAGGGTATTTATCAGGATTCCCCCGTTCAAAATGTCAAAACTCGAATGATTTCCCTCCGATGTTTAATTATCACTCTCGAGCGTTAAAGTACATGGTAAGTCAATCTAGTTTAGAAGCTATTCTAATGAACTTCGAACTAATTTTTTTTATAAATTTTTTATTAATTTTGCAGTAATATTAATTAATATTTATTTACCAAAAGTAAAATGCAATCCAGGCTTAATACCCGGATCGACCGTAAAACGTTGTAAAGGCATTTCTGTTGTTTTTTGAGTAATTTTAGTAGAGGCAGTTGAGGGCGTGGAAGGGGAACTTTTTGAAGTTTTAGTTGTTTTTGTTTGTTTTGTTTTTTCTTTAATTTTATCTTCTTGTTGAATAATTTTAGGCCTTAATTTTTGCCATTTTTTCAGACCATCAGATCCAAGTCTTCTACCATCTGGCCAAGTTCTTGTCCTCATAGGCCAACCCCCTTTAGGAATATAATTTTGTCTGGGGTTTAATTCTTCTTCTTCTTTCACCTCTTCCCTTTTTGGACTTTCTTCATCCTCTTCTTCATTTTCTATTCCCTTTTCTTCCTTTTGTTTCGACTTAATTCTGTGTCTATTATGATACCCCAATGTTTTTAATAATTTTTCTTCTCGATCATTTAATATTTCAAAGGATGAGGGGCCATAATACTCATTTGATTTTGATGTACTTTGCACGTTATAATTTTCAGAATTCATTAAATTTAATTCAGAAGAAAGCAATTTTGAAGACTTTGGCTGAATTGGAAAAGCCGAAGAAATTGAAGCTAATATTGATAAATATTTTTTGAAAATATTTTTTGAAACAAAATTTATTTTCGATATTTTTTAGTTTAATTTTGTTTAAATTTTATTATTTTTAGATTTAAGTTTTGTCTAGAATTTTAATTGTCTAGTCTAGAATTTTAATCAGATAGTATAAATTCTGGTTGGGTTTTTTGAGAAAGGAAATTTAAAAAAATATTTAAATAAAAAATCTTTAACCGTGTAAGTACATTTATAGCTTAAAATAGCCATTTATTTATTTTTAAAATCCTTTTTAGAAATAATTACTCGAGCATTTAAGGACTTTCTAGTCAACATAAATAATTAAACGGAAAAAAATTTGTTTGTTTTTGCGAATATCCTTTATAATTTAATTGGAAGTTTTTTTAATTCTTAAAAATATTTTTTTATTATTCAAATTATTAAAAAAATATTTTTTAATAATTTTATTAATTTTATTATTAACTTTATTTTAATTTTCAGGGTTTTTCATTTAATTAATTTAACTTGAACATTAATAAAAGTGCAGCTTGACTTTTAAATATTGTGAATAAGAGAAATGTAACAACAATAAAAAGTTGGGAATAAGAAGAGAATAAATCAAATTAAAAAATGTAAAAAGTGGAAAAATATTCTTTCCCGATCCGAGATATTTTCAAAAATCTGATCCTAAATCGTACTCTAATTTCTCTCCAATGGTAATCCCCTAATATATCACTCGGATCCGGCAACAAAAAATAAATGCCGGATTTCGGAAATCGGGATTCCCGGCATAAAAACGTCGGGAATTCCACGTTTGGAAATCTTGATGACAAGATCACTGAAATGATTTTCTATCTATACCCCAAATATAGATTTTGACCTTGGAGATATATGAGGTAGAATCAGGGCTGATCGAATTACAAAAAATCATGTCTAATAGAAACGAAATAAACAAGGCAGGAAAGGGCGAAACAAAAAGAAATTTCGATCAGCCCTGGTCCTTTAAAAAATAAAATAGAAATATTTAATTATAATTTTTATTGAAAATAAGCAAATTAATATGTAAAAAGAGGAAAAAAAGTTTAGAAAAGTAAGAATTATTATTATTATTTATGTGCTCAAGTGCGTGCTGGAGTGCATTTTTATTATTTATTTCCCCCTGAATCAACATTAAAATTTTTGTTTATTTTTTTATTTGTTAAGGCCAGTGGCCTTGACAGATTTGTGCAACTGAACAAAATGTGGATAAAAATATATTTAAAGACATTTCTAGGAAAGAAAAGTTTTTAGGGGTAAAAAAGCAGAAAAGCGGTAAAATTGCGTGAGTTAAAAAAATAAAGCAAAAAATAAAGCTTTTTAATTAGAAAATTAGTAAAGCTAATACTCGACTTGAGGTTTTAATTAATTGAGGAATATAATGGAATAATAGATTGGAATATAATTTAAATCAATTTTTTGATTTTCTCAATGTTATTGAGGTCCGATTGGATTGAACTTTTTATCAAAACTCCGAAATTTTGACTTAAAAAATATTGGAAAAAATAATTTAATTTTTCTGAAGAAAATTTCTACAAATGCATTAAAAATTTACTTAAAATATTTTAAGAATTTATTTAAGAGTAGGTTTCAAACCAAATTTTTTGGCTTGAAAAAAATTTTTTTAATCAAATTCAAACCAAAATAATTTCAAACCAAATTTCAAACTAGTTCAAACCAAATCGGTTTCGGTTAACTAAAAGTTTCGGTCTATATTGCCGATTTGGTTTCGGATAACCGAAGAATTTGGTAAAAACCGACACTTGTATTTAAAGCATACACTGTCCCTATAGAGAGACTGGCATTCAGGTAATTGTTTATAGGGATTGGTTATTATTTGTTTTATCCAAAAACTTCATGTATGTTGTATAAATTAAAGTTATTAAATATAAATTACTTATAAGATAAAAAAACGCAATAAGTCAAATATTAACAAAAAAAAGTTTAAAAATGTTAAAAAAGCAAAGTTCATTTTTAAAAATTTTAGTAAAAAGACAAAAATACTCAGAAAAATAAAAAAATGGAACGAAAGAATATTAAAGACAAAAAGGAAGTAAAAACATTAAAGTAAAAAGCAATTAAAAAATAAAAAAATAGAAAAATTTTTTTGAATTAAAAAATTTAATTTTTAGAGATTTATTATTTGAAAAACCAAAAAAAATTTAAATAAAATATTCCAACTTACCAAAAGTAAAATGTTCCAACTTAGTTTTGGGTCTAGTCCATGAATGAGGCCGCTTTCTAGTTGTCGTAGTTAAAGTTATTGTTGAGGTAGAGGGATTTGAAGACGATTTAGTTGAGTATGCTGGTTTAGTTGGTGGAGATGTTTGGAATGTTGGCGGAGATGTACTTGTAACGGTAGTAGTAATAAGTTGTGCTTCCCAATTGAGCGATTTTGAGATGATTGGAGTGAAGAAGCCTTTTTTAATAAAAAATACTTTAATTTATTAAAGAATGTTTTTTATACATATTAATAAAAAAATTACTTTATTTTTTTATTCTGAATAGAATTCGACATTTTTAAATGCAGGTCTATCTGTATGGACGGTTTCCGTTCTCTCCGTCTTTAACCATTAAGCAACCAAATCTCAAGCTTATTTCGACAACTAAACTAAAAGTCGTTTTTGATTTCCAAGCATCGGGCCCGGAAACATAGTCCTGGGCCCGGTGTCGAACACACATTAAACTCTAATTTCAACTTTTAATTTAATTTAAAAATTTTTTTTTAATTTATTTAAAAAATCGTATTAAAAAATCATTAAAAAAATAACATTAAAATCTTAATAAAAAATTTTTTTACTTTAAAAACTAAGCATATTTTTAAAATATTTATATTTATGTAGAAGAGAGATTTTATCACAAATCTTTTCCGCTATTATTTAAAAATAAAAAATATCAAAAAATTAAAAAAAAAATCTCCAAAAATTTATTTTAATTTACCATTTTCCTTATTTAAATAATCATTATCGTCTTCATTTGATTCACTTAAAGGCAAAAATTGGGCTGAGGCAAATTTAGGAGCAGGAATTTGATAATGCTGTTCTCGGCACTTTGGTGAGTGCCAGTCGATGAGGCATAAGATTGGCAAGGATGTACTAGTAAAAAATGCTGGGGAAGGGGAGGGAGAAAAAGAAAATTGTTGCGCGGACATTTAATATTTTTAAATATTTATACTAAATTTGGTATAAAATTTGTGTTTTATGTTGAGAAATAGAAAAAAATATTCTTAATATAATATTTATTAAATTTTGGATTTTATCTTTATATTTGAGCTGATAATTAAATAAATTTTGGGTCTAATCTACAGTGTTCTTTCTAAAAGTCAGACGATTATTTTGTCAAAAAACAAAAGAGGGTGAGAAGGGAGAGGGGTATCAGGGATGGAACAGATAATGTTCGGCCCGAACCTCTAACATTTTTTCGCCGCTATACCCGATTAAAAGATAATTTAAAAATTTGACCAGACTTTTTTCTCAACAGGTCCCATCTCTTAATTATATTTTAAAATAATATTTAAACAAAAAAATTTTTTATTTAGATGAGACAATAAATTTTAAAAAATTATTTAGTCATTAAGAATGCTAACTACGTAAGGGACATAATAACCTAGTTAATCCTTTGAACGTGTTCATTATTTAATGAGGACATTATTAAATATCTGTTTAGTTTTATTTAAAAATGGCTATAAATTTTAGATTTTTAAATTTAATGCGTGAACCATAACGTGAGATAATAAGAATTAGAGATAACCAAGAGCTGTTTTAAATTCAATAATCACTGAGAATCGGAAATAAAAAAAGTTCAAAAATATCCGGATCAAAAATCGAAACTTAGAATTCAAAATCCGAAAATCGAAATTTTGTCATAAATTTTAGACTGAACTGGGAGAGTCGTACAAGATTTCTCGAAAAATCTTGAATCTTGATAATCTAGCTTCTTTGTTGGAGATCTCATCTCGATACTGCCCCTAGCCATGTTTCTAGTGACTAGATCTCCATCCGGTCTCTAGTCTCAATCTTCTTTCATTACGATCCGGTCTCTAGCAATCTATAGTCTAGATTTTATCATTTTAAGAAGTCTGGCAAAGATTTGAGGAATAGTTGAGAAGGATATGAGAATTGAAAGATTAACTTTTGACCTAAATTTGGGATAAATTCAAAAGTTAAACTTGCGCCGTCTCATTCACGGTGTGAAACAAACTAAAAATAAAAAAATGTTTGACATGCCTTAATTCCCCTTAGCTAAGAATATTTCGGTATAGAAATACAATCTACAGATTGTATATATTTATTGATAGAATGTGTACCTTCTTTTCTCATTTCTTTGGCAAACATCCTCCTTGGCAATTTTTGTTGTTATTGAAAAAAATTGGTTTACATGAGAGCGCAAAAATGCGAGAAAGTGAGAAAGACATAATTCTCACCTATATTATAGTAGGGGTTTGAGTGTGTGGATTGAATAAAGAAAGAATAAAAAAAACCCTAAAGAATGTGTTGAAAAAGGGATATACATATCTTAAAAAAGAGAATTTAATAAAGTTTTGTTTGAGGCAAAAAATAAAGTTATTCAAATTTATTTGGCTTAGTTTTTCAAGGCAACATCATGAGATTTTATAATAAAAATTTTAAAAAACAGACAGACCTCAATAAAAGATACATTTAATACGAGACACATTATATGCTCAAATAAATACCCTGTGCAAAAATTGTTCAACTTCTCGCTGGAGGGAAGGCGGATAATAATTATTAATAGCTTAATAATTTGATGGTTGAAATTTGAATATCTCAAGGGACATTTGTGGTATGGATGGTTAATTATTTGAGAGAGCCTAATAATTTGAGTTTTGAAATTTGGACGTGTCGAAGGAGATTTGTGGGATGGTGCTTAGCGAGAATATATAGAGAACCTTGATTTAA